TTAAAGTAGAGCCACCAAACTTGAACATTTTGTAATTCAAAAGTCGGACCCAGCCAGGTTGTTTAAGCTTACTAAATAGAATTTTTTGCATTTTAGCGTCCTATAAATTTACCAGAATCACCTCTCAGAGGCTTACTGTAGCAAAGCATTTTGTGGTACACTCGTAGACAAGCAATGTAAGCCTTAAGTCTTTGCTTGGATGAGATGTCCAAAAGAAAAATTAGTTTTGTGGACCTAAACGCACATTCACAGACTGCTTATATTCAGAGTTGTTTACAACTTTGCATTGACACCTGCAGCATGTTCATTTTTTTAAAAGCGAAATCCAAATCTGATTTTGGCATTTGATTTACGGATATTTTATTTTGTCTCCAAAAGTGATTGTAATATCCGTTTGATTGTCTTTCAACAACAGTCAAACTATGCAGCAAAAATAAGTAACTTTACCAGTACAGTGAAAAAAAAAATATGATCGTAGGTGCCAAAAATAATTATGCTCGAGCTATAAAATTAGATCTGACTTTTTTTAGCTTTGGTATCTATATTTTTGAAGTTTTCTCTAGTCTTCTTAGCAGCAGCAGAAGATTACAAGACGTACAAACAGAAACAATCCGAAGTGAACGAGTTGACAACCACTTATGCCGCAGTTCTTAGGCATGCTCAACAGCAAGATAAACTGAATGTCAAACAGCTAATTCACGGGATTTGTTCGATATTCAGGCTTTTTCTCTACAAATTAATACTAAATTTGTACTTACAGTCTCTCGCAGAATCCATTTCTTGTCCAGCATTCACCAACATCTCAACCATGCACCGCAGAAAAAATAGACAAACAAGTGCGAAGAGACATGACGACATCGTGACGCCACAACTGCCACGCTACAACAAACTAGATTCATTGTCATCCGAAAACACTTCTGCGGAAATTCGTCCGATTTCGTGCTTGCTCGGGGTATCTTCGGATGAAGCAGATGACGTTGCTCAAAGGACTATCGTCAGCAAGGAGTAAAACAGTTTGCGAGATTCGCATAGCCGACAAGAAGCGCACTGAAAACCTAAGCAAAATCTATCTGAGAAGGCAGTCCAAATTCACCAAATCAGAACGTCTTTGCAGCATTAACGTCGTACTCTCGTACTGACTTGAACGACCTGGTAAGCTTAATTTTCACCAGTCTTTTAATGCTGTTGACCGGGAAACGTTCCGACGCGATAAAACTTAAGCATGGATAAGTTTATGCTGAGAAGATTTGTCATCTTATTGTTTAAAACGCTTTTCCGCGATCAAATTTAAATCTGGACCCAGAAATGTCAGTATCGGTTTGAAATAAAAGGATTAATCTTTGATTGCAAGTGAAGTATTCTATTTTATGCATGAATAATGTTGTTTTGTTGTCCTTTTTATTTATAAATCCAAGCTTTTGTCTTCAGTTTTGCCAGTCGATCCCGTGACATACATTGTGACAAACATGACTTTTTTGTTATAATCTGCATTTATTGCCAGGCATGAAACCTGTAACTTCAAGCTCCCTAAGATATATTTGGCGATTATATGTGATTCTCAGGATATGATGCTGAAGCGAACATCAAAATCAGTCTCGCTGGGCATGCCAATTTCATGCCCGGCATGTCAAACCAACTGGCTTCACGATCGGCATGCCCGGCATGCCAAACCAGAGGAGCAAAAACTGGGAATGAATTATCAACCCGGCGAGAGATCTGGGACCTAAGTTTAGCTGCGTCAATTTTGGGCTGCGAGGGCATGAACCCATTTTTTCCATGCCTATAAGATGTTATTTCTAAGTACCAATGTTCCCTTGAATTTTGTCATGCCTAAATATATGAAATTTTCCCTCTCTCATTAATCCTCAGACTGGATGCGATTTTTACGCTCGCTAGGCATGTTCAACGGAAAATCATGCCCATACCCTCATTCAAAACAAAATGCTATCAAATTTTAGTTTCCAAGCCGTTAATTACGGACCGAGTTTTTTTCCATCGATTTATGGCCCAAGCGCGAAGCGCGCGGGCCATAAATCGATGGATAAAAACGAGGATCCGTAATTTACAGTACGGACCGAAAAAACTAGGCTATTAAATAAGATGTTTATTATATGGCTTCTTCCTGTTTGGGGGACCGGAAACAAATGCAGGACGCGCGATTTGACAGTCATTTGACAGGTGTCAAAAAAGAAAGTTTTTATTGGCGCACGAAAACAATAGCACATAACAAAGGCTTTCCGAGAAAGTAAAAACAAATTCGCCATGTTAAAAAAGTTTATTCGGTCAAAATAAGTTTTAGCTCTTTAATGTAACGCGGGAGTATTTTGGAAACCGGACACTGTGTCTGTCTAGAAGTCGTTTCCATCTTTTCTCCGTTTTTCCTTGTAAAAAAAACACTGCAAAAGGCAAAGAAGCTTTTCAAGGTAAGTTTGTTGTAATTGTCGAAGGATTCGCTCGTTAATTGTTTTTGGAAAAACCTCTCTTTCTGCCAGTTCATTGT